CCTCTCCCGCCTCTCTGAAGGCCACCGGATTGCAGAGGGCTGATAACATGTCTCCAGCAGAGATGCTATCTGGCCTGCTGGGTTTTTGTGCTCCATTGTTTCTGGAAAGCAGGTGGTTGGAAATGTTGACCGAGCAAAGCAGTGGCTTCACAGCCGGAGGACCGGCTCCCATTGGGGCCATACCACTGACAGGCACCCAGCGAGGCAAGGCAGGGCTGGGGCTGGGGGTTGCGTTTCCGAGGGTAGGTCGACCTGTCTGGTTCCTCTTCTTGGAGCAAAGATAAGGGAGGGAATTTATTTTTATGATGGAAGAGCTGAATCTTGAACGTTAGAGAGCAGTGAAGGTCCTCTGAAGTCAGGGGATCTGCCCACCACCCCCTGGACATATCTTTTTCCTACGACAGCTTTCATCTCACCTGTCCTGTCACCCTTTTAAATGATGAATTCCCACTTTGTCTCTGCCTGTATGGCAAGGGTGCTCATCCCACGCACAGTCCTTTGAAGGCCCTTGTGTCTGGGTTTAGCTTTAGATGCCCAGCAGCCCCATAAGCTCCAGGTGATGATCGGCTTGCCTGGGTATGGAGGATTGGATTGAGGTTAAGGCAATGTACTGGGTCTGAGAAGAGGTGGAGGTGTTAATTCTTTAGCTGGATTTGCTAAAAACTCACGTGGAGTTTTAGATACAGCATCTTTTAATTTTCTTCTTTTCTTCTCCTTCCTTCCATGCAGACGTCAGCCCTGAGACTCGTGCCAATGTCAAGTTTGTGCAGGACACTTCCAAGTACTGGTACAAACCGGAGATCTCCAGGGAGCAGGGTGGGTAGATGGCACAGGACAGAGGGGATATGGTCAAGTGAGCCATGGTCGGGAGTTGGAGTGTATCTGGCATCACAGGGATTAGCAAGGATTTCCCTTAGGGGCTGGATTAGGAGTGAAGGTGGTTTGTGGATGCTCAGACCATGGCAGAGGGGGGTTGAACCCCAGCTCAGCTGCAGACTTGCATGATGTGGGCTCCTCAAACCTTCCCATTGGTGGAGGAACACTGATCCCCACAGCGTGCAATGGATCTGTGCAGTTTGGGGTGCAGAGCACTCAGACCTTGAGCTGAGAATGCTCAGAAGGGTCTTGGAGAAATGGCTAAAAATAAAGAGGGGAGGACAAGGAGGGGGCAAGGTGCCTTCAGGGCCAAGGTCCCAGCATTTGGCCCCTGGTCCCTGCCTCCTGTCCAGTGCTCGGTTGCTCAGAGCTGAGCTGGGTAGGAATGGATGGTCTGAGAGGCCCATGTGAGGGCAGGGAGGAGGTGGGCTCTTGCCTGGCTGCAGACCCACTCAAGACCCCCATCCAGACATGCAGGTGTAATGGTAATGCTGTGGTGCCTGGCTGTAAGACCACAGAGCCGGGGCTCCCCATCCCAACCCATGCCTGCTGGTTTTGGAGGTCTTGTCAGCTCTCACTGTGCCAGCTCTGAGGTCCGCTGTTGTCTCCTGCAGCCATCGCACTGCTGAAGGACAGGGAGCCGGGGGCTTTCATCATCCGAGACAGCCACTCCTTCCGGGGAGCCTACGGCCTCGCCATGAAAGTAGCTTCTCCACCTCCCACGGTCATGCAGCAGAACAAGAAAGGTATTGTGTGCCCTTCTCCATCCCACGCCGAGATGCTTTCCATCATTTGGCCGGGGAGAGCGGGCAGCTGAACCAGTTGTGCCCTTGGGTATGTGCTGATGAGGCAGGATCCCTCTCTCCCAGCTCTCCCCTCCAGGGCACAGGGAAGCACCAGACACCCTCTGCCCTGAGCTGCGGAGGGCTCAGGGGCATCTGCATCTTGGACTTTAGCTTTGGGGGAGCCTGGCTTGGGGTCAACCCTGTGCAAAGGGCTGGATTCGAGGAGCGTGTGCAGAGTGGCAGGGACCCCTCCCTCAAGCTGGAGCACTGGTTTCCATGTGGGACTGCAGGGTGGGAGGACGAGTGGGGTGGCTCTGATGTGAGAACATCCCGTCTCTTCCCAGGAGACATCACCAACGAGCTGGTGAGGCACTTCCTCATTGAGACCAGCCCGCGGGGTGTGAAACTAAAAGGATGCCCCAATGAGCCCAATTTTGGTGAGTGCCCCCAGCATGCTTCCCACATGTGTGGTTGGGTTGGGAGAACCTTGCCTCTGCTGGACTGTCAAAGCAGACTATCTTAGGAGAACCCCCGCCCCTGTTACTGCCTCTTGTCCTTGCATAACTGAGTCCTGCGGGCATTTGGAGCCTCTGGGGTCACGCGCACTCGTGAGTGCACACAAATGTGCATATATGCACAGGTACGTACCTTCCCACACACCTGCGTAGGAAAAATGATGTTGCTGGGCAGGGTGGAGGGCAGGGGCTCCCCCTGTTCCAGCTATCCCATGGCTAATGCGCTCCGAGGTGCTGCATGAGAACCTCTGCCCCATTCATTGTTTCTAAGGTGGCCCTGGCATCTCTGCCCCCTCCCTGAACTCTCCGTGGGCATGGTGGTTTCAGCAAGAGGAAATGCCACATGTGGCATTAGGACCACAGTGAAGAAACCCACCAAAAAGTCTGTTCCCATCCACCTGGAGCAACAGTGAGCTAACGCTGGGGAAAGCCGTGTCCCCAGCCCTGCGCTGACCATCTTCCCTCTCTCTCCAGGCTGCCTCTCGGCTCTGGTGTACCAGCACTCCATCATGCCCTTGGCCCTGCCCTGCAAGCTGGTCATTCCTGACCGAGGTAAGAGCCAGGCTCAGAGGGGAGTGCATCTGCCCCCACAGCCTGCCCGGGACAGGGTAGGTTTCCAAGCAGGGAGCAGCAATAACAGCCCGTCTCTTCTAGATCCCATGGAGGAAAAGAAAGACACCGTGTCGGCCACCAACTCAGCCACGGACCTTCTCAAACAGGGTGCGGGTGAGTAGAGAGGGGCTACCACGGGGTGAATGTAGCCCGGAGCAGTGGTTGACCCCCATGCCTGCCGTCTCTCTTTCCAGCCTGCAACGTCCTCTTCATCAATTCAGTGGAGATGGAGTCGCTGACGGGCCCCCAGGCCATTGCAAAGGCTGTTACTGAGACGCTGGTGGCTGACCCCACGCCCACCGCTACCATCGTCCACTTCAAAGTCTCTGCACAAGGCATCACCTTAACCGACAATCAGAGGAAGTAAGAGCCCCCGTGGCCATCTCCCTGGGTCCCCAATGCCAACAGGGCTATCATCCAGGGAGCGTGTTGGCAAAGGACATCCCTGGGGTGGCATGAGCCTGGTCATGGGCAATGCTGGGCTTTGTCCTTGACTCCTGGAGCATCTATGGGAGTGTCCTCCATGTTGGCGGGGCTGAGCTGTGATGGGGCAGATGTGGTGGCTCCCTGGCCTTGACGCTCCCTGCCTTGTGTTTCAGATTGTTCTTCCGACGACACTACCCCCTCAACACTGTCACCTTCTGCGACCTGGACCCCCAGGAACGAAAGTGAGTGCTCTAACCCGCGGGGAGCATGTGTCCCCTGCCCCTTTCCCTCCCCTGGGCTCCTGGGCTGCTTGGAACAGGATCTTTGCTTGCTCTGTCCCTCTTGCTCCTGCAGAGGGCAGGGATGGAGGGTCCCCTTGGATACTGTGGGGCAACACCAGCTTCTCCTGGTGACTTCTTGGTGTCTCCAAGCATCTTCATGCTGGGGAAAAGGCACATCAGTTTTTTTCTGTAGAGTCAAGCCTGTGCAAAGCCAGGCTGGCCCTCCAGCACTGGTGTGGTGGCCCCATCACAGCCCTGTCTCTCTGTGGGGTGCAGGAGGCACCATGCCTCACATCTTCTCTTCTCCTTGCAGGTGGACTAAAACTGATGGCAGTGGCCCAGCCAAGTAAGTACTTTCTGTGCTTGATTCCTCCCGGCTGCTGTCGGGGTGGCTCCTGCTCATGTTTGAGCATTGGCTGGGAGATGCCCCATGTAGGGCAGTGTGAGGTGGGCTCAGCTCTTCGCTGCAGGAACATTTCACCCAAGCATGAGACCATGGTCCTGGGGACTCAGGAAGCATCTTTCAGCCCCAAATTCCTGGCATGACCCTTGCTGAACTGGCCTTATGGGAAACTCTCCTAGTGGAGTCAGCGGGAGCCAGGTCATGGAGCAGAGCTGGGGGTTATGCTGATGGCGTGTGAGCCACCAGCTGGCTCTTCCCTCTTCTCCTGTCCTCCTCGTCCTGACCCATGGGAGTACAGAGCTGCTGGCTGAGCCCATTTCCAGGGGCCAATTCCCACTAATTTTAGCCATTGTGTTAGCAAAGGGGTTTTTATTAGGATGTCCAGCTGCTGGGATATTTCCCCTCTCCAATTAGAAATGCCACAGCCGGGGCCTGTCTCACATTCTGTTCCCCCGTATTTATAACTTGAGTTTGCACATTCTAATTAAAAAAAAAAAAAAAGGAACATTTTATTCATCAGACAGACAGAAATAACCACATGGTCTCACCCAGCTCCCCGTGTCCCCACATGGCCTTCCTCTCATACAGGGACTACCCCAATGGCCAGCCCATCACACCTCTGTGGTTTCAAGAGTCGTCACCCACACCAAGGCAATGCTGTGATGATCTGGAAGGTCCCTTCCTGGGGACGGTCTAGGGGAGGGTGGCAGGGAAGGTCAGAGCAAGGGAGGTTTGCCCAAGAGACGATGGAAACGGAGGGCTGGCCTTCAAAGAAACTGAGGCAAAGGAAAGAATAGATGGGTCTTCATGCAGGCTAGTTTGGGTTGTCTCCCTCTCTGTTGTGCGATGTGGATGTTAAAGAGGGGAAGGTGGACAAGGCCATTGTGGAAGAGGGTGGTGGTGGTGTTCCTTGGGTGAGCAGTGCTGCCAAACCTCTCTGAGCCTCTTGCCTTCTCCTCACCCAGGCTCTTTGGCTTCGTGGCCAGGAAGCAAGGGAGCACCACAGACAACATCTGCCACCTCTTTGCCGAGCTGGACCCGGATCAGCCGGCTGCAGCCATCGTCAACTTTGTCTCCAGGGTCATGCTCGGCTCCGGCCAGAAAAGATGAGCCAGCATTTGCGGGTGTTTCTTGAATTTTGGAGAAGGACTTGGAGCTGATCCGAGAAGGAGTGTGAGGAAGTGCATTGTGGGAGAGGGAAGTGAATCGGGGGGGAAAAGAGTTGGAATTTTGGAGGAAAACAGCAAACAACAAAAAAACCCCAACGAAACCCCTAAAAACTCAACACAAGCCAAACACACACATAGAGGAACCAAAACCACGCACCTACATAAGAGAGCCACAAAGTCACGCCAGACAGGATGCATGTCTCAGCGCAGGGAAGGTGACCAAAGCAAAGGTGGCAGCGAGAGGCGTGTTCCCAGCTTTCGGCATCACGGTCCTGAGCGGTGACATCCGCTCGGGGCCGAACGTGGGACCATGACTGGTGTTTTCCATCTGGAAAAAAAAGAGACAACTGGCAAAACCCATGGAAGAAGCTCCATCCCAGCAGCTCCATCGGTGAACGTCTGCTGCATGTTTGAAACAACCCAAAGGAGATAACAAGGTGGGCTGGGTCTGCAGGACACCGGAGGAGATGCCCTCGGAAACCTTCCTTTGCCCGGCTGCAGCAGAGGGTCCTCGCTGGCCCCTGTGCTTCTCCCAAAAGCTGCCGGCCACCTGGCGACTTGCTGGGGATGTGGAGGGGCTTAGTCCCGAGCCCTCCTGTCCCCAGGGAGCTCGGCCATGGGCTGACCTCCGCTGCTGACCCAGAGCCCAGCACTGGTCACAGGTGAGCCGCTGTGAATCCACCTGGAGAGCGGGGTCACGGCATCTCCCCATCTCCCCGGGGGTGCCCGTGCCCCCCAGCCCATGGGGAGGTGTGGGGGTCTCCTGCCACCCCACGCCTGGGGAAGGCAGGTGCTCCCCGGGAGCCTCCCGGGAGGATGCAGAAATTCGCATCCTCTCCCGTCTTCCCCTTTTCCCTCCCATCACCAGTCCTCTTTGGCAATTTTCTCCTGCGGCCTGTCACATGTTCTCTGAACACAAAAAAAACCCAAAACAGAAAGGAAAGAAAAACATTGTAATAATAATAATAATAATAATAATTATAATAATAGCAGATGCTGGCACAGGTGGGTTCCCTGTGCGAAGCAGCGGACCCGTGGCTACCCCAATCTCGCTCTTCGGAGACGCGCAAGCGGTTTTTAAATTGCATGGACGTTCAAGTTGCACGAAAGGCAAATGACTACAAGTAACTCAGGCGCTTTTTTCTCCTTTTGTTTTGGAGGCCACGTTAAAAAAAAAGAAAAAAGAAGGACGAAAATTTAAAAAAAAAAAAGAAAAAAGGAAAGGACCTGCAGTCGCTGGGCAGCTTTGGCTCAGTGGGGAGGTAATAGGTCCTCTGAGAGCCACCCTGCTCAGCAGATGCGTACCCCCAAAACCAGCTGGCTGGAGGCTTGTGCCCCCCGAGTGCACCGTAGTTTTGCAGTGGCTTTGGTGCCATCGGTTTTTCCCTTTGCTTCTGGAGGTGAGGAGGGCCAGCTGGGGGGCGAGAGGCGAAGGGCTCCTGTGCCGCGGTGGCGGGGGGTAATGTGTTTGGGGGGCAGCAGGCAGAGGTTCCAGCCCTGTGGTGCTGGGGGGGGCAGAGGATGCTTTGGTCACGCATGCAGGTTTGGGGTGGGGTTCCGGAACAGTCATTGTTGAGCCCTCTGCTGCAAATATCCCGCTGAGAGCCTTTGGGGGAAGTTTTCAGTGCAAAGTGGCCCAGATAGTTTAATGGGGGGCAAAAATTAGAAACATAGCACTGCAGCCCCCCCGAAAGCTTTCCTCCCTTGGACTGCCTTTGCCTTGATAGCTATAATATATATATGAGCTATACTGATGAAATACTGTAAGCTAACGAAATTTTAAGGAGGAAAAAAAGGTTAAATTTACACTCCGAAAATATTTATTTTTGCCATGTTGCTTTCCGCACATCCTATCTCCCCCATTATATCCCCCCCGCCCCTCGCCTGCCCTTCCCCTGCCCCGGGGAAACACCTGCACGTTAAAAGAAAACCCAGAGCAAAGAAAAACAGGGATGAGGGGAGGAGGCGCGGGGGTCCCCCCCGTGTCGGGGCGGCGTGCGTGTGACCGGTGTGCGTGTGCGTGTGTGCGTGGGGGAGCGAGCGGCGCGGGCTGGCACGGCCGGAGGCTGTACTGGTGTCCTGAGGCGAGCCTGGAAGGATGCGTAGCGAGGAGTTGGTTGTGAGATGGATGCGGGACGGGGGGCTCTGGGACAGGGGGCTCTCTCCCCTTCCCCCAGCTCCCTGGCTGCACGGATGCAGAGACCTTTTCATTTCTGATGTTTCCAAAAAAGCGATTCCCTCCTTCTGCGAAATTCAAGCGAGATGAGAGACGATCTCACCCGTAATCTCCTCACCCTGCCGTTCACCGATTAGAGAAAACACTGTGTTTATAGATATATAAAGATATATTTTTGAAAGCCTCTATTTTTCAGACTTGGTTTTCTCACTGCTAAGAAAAGAGATGATAATAATGTAATTTTATTTTAATCTGCTGCCTCGGAAACTGGTGCTTTGAAACTCCCATTCCTCTTTTTTCTCCCCCCTACGAAAGAAGCAGATCTAAGCACCCCAGAGATGTCACGTAGAAGCCGATCCCAGCAGATACCTGCCGATAGCATCACGCCTGCTTCGGGCCCTGAGCCGCTCACAGCTTCCCCACTAACCCACTAGCTGAAGATTTAGACCATACCCAAATCTCGAACACTAACAAAATTGTCCGACGATTATATTATTTTTTTTTTTAACGCAGAGCTAATCACCTTCCAATGATGTAGCCAGGTGTTTGTCAGCTCCCTTTAAAGGCACTTTTTTTCCCCCTTTATCTCCTTTTTTAAGTTACATTTTTAGGTGTAACCACCCTTTCTGTCCCCGGGAGAGATCGTCAGCCAGCGCTGAGGATCACCCAGCTCCTGGGGCTGGAGGGGACCTAGTGTTGGTATTTTTTCCTCACGAAAGGGACAGAAAAGACTCTTTGGTTTTTTGTTTTTTTTTTTTTTTTTTTTTTTTTTCCTTTGGTTTTTAAATGCAGTCATGGTATTTGAGATACGAGCTTGTGCGAGTTAAGCCCAGCATATGTTTCGTTGTAATCACACCGCCGTTGTCAGCAGCTGGATGGTATCGCTCTCTCTCACACAAATACACACACAATCACGTCCCTCCTTCCTGCACAAAGAACTGCATATATTCTTGCCAAAGATATCCTTAAAAACGCACTTTTCCCCACATATATATATATATAATTTTTTTTTTTGTGTGTGTGTAAATTTATTGTACGTGCCCTTTCTGTGTCGGTTTGTTCTTTGGAGAAGCCCCTTCCCACCCATCCTCCCTTTGCTGTCAATGTTGCTGTCTGTTGGGAAGAGCTCCCCCCGGGGGGGGGGGGGGGGGGGGGGGGGCGTTTGTGCCTGTCCCAAATGGTAGCGCCTACAACATGCAAAATGTGGGGTTCCTGTCCCAGGGGGCTGCCCCTGGCTCTGCCCCCCGCCCCCCCGGGAGATGTTTTGGGAGATGATCCATGCCATCTTCTGCTGATGGGACGCACCCATCTCACGGTCTTTGCCAGCTCCCCCTGTCGCCAGTGGAGATGGGAGCTCGTGGGTTTAAGCAGGTAAATTGAGCAAAGTTTGGGTTTGCTCTGGATGCGACATTAGCTGGATGCCCCCTGGTCAAACCACAGGTGGAAAATAAAACCAGGTAGGGAGAAAAACCCAACCCAGCCTCCGGGCATCGATTTTCCAGTGAGTTCAACTGCCTGAACCGAAGCGCAAAGTAAATCCCCACCCAGCAGGTCGGGCGGGTAAAGAAACCAGTTGCCCCAAAAACCCCAGACAGCAACATCAACAAAAGGCAACCCTTCCCGTTGGAGCAGGCAGGAGGATCAGACAGCAAAGGAGCCCGCAGGGGCTTGTTTCATTTCGTTCGTTTGTTTTGCAAATTGTGAGGTTGGTTTGGGGTTACTCTTTTTCTTTTTTCTTTTCCTTAAAAAGGAAAAAAAAAAAAGAAAAAAAGGAAAAAAGGAAGCAACCCGACGTTTCTGTTGGCGGATCCTGTGCCGCCGTGTTATGCGTGGGGTTTTTTTTTTTGTTGTTGTTGTGGTCTTTGTTACTTTGGGAACGTTACAGATTTATTTGCTAATCAGTGTTAATGAACAGTTTCAAACTTCTAGACTCGCCCATTTCTTTGTATTTATATAGATGGAAAAAAAAATACATTATATTTTGTATCTTTGTGCCTGTAATGTTGTCGCGCGTGTAAGGATGACTTCGGTCGCACCATGTCCGTGTGTGAATGTGACTCCGCTGTTGTCTTCCCGTTGTACAGATGTCGGATTCTTTGCAGTTCATTGTATGGCTTTATAAAGTGGTAAAAAGAAACAAAAAAAAATATCAGTTATATAAAATATACTGTTGCTTGGAATGCCAGCTTGGTGTCTGGATCGCTGGAAATGTATCTTGAAGTTTAAGGGAGCGCAGGAATAAATGCTCTGTTCTTTTTGCACAGGGGAAAAAACAAAACAAAACCCTAAAAGCCGTCGGGTTCTGTGTTTTCTCTGGGCTGTTGTTCCCCACTGTTCCTCGATGGCAGACTGGGGCCCCCGGACAGACACCAGGCGGTGGGCGTGGGGAGAAGGAGGGGTTGTGCTTGTCAGCCCCCAGCCGCAGCTTGTGTTCACCAGATGCTCGCTAACCAGGCAGCCCCAGAACTTCCTACATGGCTCCAGCTCCAGCCTGGGCTTTTGTTTACCAGGAGGGAAACTCTCCGGCTTGCCCCACAGGCACTGGGTGCACTTCAAATCCTGCCGCTGTCTCCCAGGTTGCCTTTAGGTGCTGTCTGTCCAGCCCTGGGCGTCCCCTTGGGAGTCCGTCTCCCACAGGGGAGGCCAGGCGGGATGATGCTGATATGGAGTCTTTTGCCTTTGCCGTGGTCTGCTCCCATTAAATCCCGCTCCTTGCTCCTTCCGGAGCCGTCCTGCTTCTCTGTGCCTGGCAACGCTCCCCTGAAAATCTCAGGCCTGGCTTTTCCAGCTCTCCCAGAGCAATTCCCAGCATCCGTCAGAGCCCTCAGCCCCCGGCTCTCTGGCTCCGCTCATTCCCCTCCTTGCTGAGTTGGTAGCCAAGACCCGGCCCCCGGGATGGATTGAGTTTAATTATACAAGAAATATCAGCCAGAGCAGCGGCAGTTTTTCTGGCGCCAGCGCTGCTGTGGCTCAGAGGCTCAGAGCTTCTCCCGGGAGCCAGCAGCACTAAAAATACCTCCTGCCTTTCTCCAAAATAGCTGCAGGGTGAGGGGCGGATTGAGGGGGCTGCTTGCGCGGGGACCCCGTGCTGTGGGGCTTGTGCTGGGAGGCGAAGGCAAGAAGGGGTAAAAAAAGAAAGGGGAGGAGATGGGATGGTTTCTGGCCCCCCCCAGAAATAGCTGTGGAGCTGTGGGTGGGCACCAAGTGATGT